CCCCGGGCTTCCTGGAATCAGCCGCTGATCAGTTTCAGCAGCAGCTGACTTGGGGACGCTTGGGGTTCTTAAGTTGAATCTGTATGTAAGTCAGAACTGGCGGTCAGTTTCAGCAGCGGCTGAATCTGGATGCCAGTTCCGACTTACATACAGATTCAACTTAAGAACAAACCTACAGTCCCTATCTTGTACATAACCCGGGGACTGCCTGTAGTATAAAAGTTATAGGTTACATACCACAGTTAGTGGTTCTGCAATTTCCTATCTGAGCTCTTTCAAGACTCTTAGGTGAATACCATCTGGTCTTGGTGACTTCTTACTGCTTAATTTATCAAATTGTCCTCCAAACCTCGTCTACTGATATAGTTTCTCAGCTGTGTCACCTAAAAAGAATATGGGAATCTCCCTCATGCCCTCTGCTGTGAAGACCGGTGCAAAGAATTCATTTAACTTGTCTTCAATAACCTTGTCTTCCTTGAGTACTCCTTTAACACCTTGATCATCCAGTGGTGCCATTATTTATCAGGCTTCCTGCTTCTAATGTACTTAATTTTTTTGTTAAGTTTTTCCATCTTCTGCTAGTTGCTCTTCAAATTCTTTTTTGGCCTGCCTTATAATTGTACTTTTATACCTAACTTACCAGAGTTTGTGTTTTTTTCTATTCTCCTGTAATATCTGAATTCCAATTTTTAAAGAACACCTTTGTTCCCAAACTCTCTTTTTTACTGTTTATTCAAGGTGGCCTTTTTTTGTTCTCTTTCTATACTGTTTTAAAAACATTACCATGCAGTTTATAGGAATATTTCACTCTTGTAACTGTTTGTTTAAATTCTATTTAACTTTATCATTTTTTGTGTAGTTCCCCTTTTCAGAAGTTAAATGCTACTGTGTTGATCTTCCTTGGTATTTCCTCCCTCTCTGCCCTCACAAGGACGTTGAATTTAATTACATTTGAGTTGCTATTGCCAAGCACTTCAGTTACATTCATCTCTTGGCATAGAGCCTGTGCTCTCCTTGGGACTAAATCAAGAATTGCCTCTCCCCCTTGTGGGTTCCGGGACTAGCTGCTCCAAACAGAAGTCACTGATAGCATCTAGAAACTTTATCTCTGCTTCCCATCCTGAGATATGTACCCAGTCAATACGGGAATAGTTGAAATAACCCATTATTATTGAGTTTTCTGTTTTTATAGCCTCTACTAATATCTCTGAGCATTTCACAATCTCCAACACCATATTGGTCGGATAGTTGTTCGTATATTCCTACTGCTTACTCTTATAATTCAGGCACAAAATTTCAATCCATGGAGATTTAATAGCACTGTTGATCCATTTATAATTTTACTATATATATATTTATATATATTTACTGTATAATTTTATTATATATTTTAAACTACAGTAAGGGAGGTTTAGGTTGGACATTAGGAAAAAGTTCCTAACTGTCAGGGTGGCTAACCACTGGAATAAATTGCCTAGGGTGGTTGTGGAATCTCCATCTCTGGAGAAATTTAAGAGTAGGTTAGATAAACGTCTACAGGGACGGTCTACTCTAGACAGTACTGGGTCCTGCCATGAGGGCAGGGGACTACACTCGATGACCTCTCGAGGTCCCTTCCAGTCCTAGTATTCTATGATATATTTGACTCCATGCTTTCTTTCACTTATACAGGCAGTCCCCGACTTACGTCGGATCCGCACTTACGAACGGGGCTTTTCTCGCACCGGAGCTCATGGGTGGCGGGGCGCC